TAAAAAATATATAATATAAATATAATAAATAATTATATAAAAAAATATAACATTAATTATTTAAAATATAATAAAAACTTAACTCTTTGTTATACATGGACATACTCTAAACTACTAATTCAACTAGTTTAGCTGCCTGTCCCTATAAACAAACCACTTGGCTCATACGCATCCCATCTACCACATGGCCCTTTTACTTTGGTTAAATGTCAATTTTGGTCCTTAAACTTTAGAATTTTGAATAATTTTCATCTTTCAACTTTTTTACACTTTTTTAATCTCTCAACCGCAAAAATGCAAACATTGTTCAATATATTATTTATTTTAACTTTTTTAATTGATGAACATGCATGCTCTGTCTATATATGATAGCAACAAAGTGAAACAAGCCTAACAAATTTGGCTCTTGACAAAATGAACAGAATGCATTAACACATCTGATAAATGGGACTATAAAAAAAATATCAGTAACTAGATTCCAGCCTTTTGGTTTCTATAATGGAGAACGGAAAAAAGGGTGCAATAAAATTAGTAGCAACGATCACAATCACCACCAAATGAAGAGAGAAACAAATCTAACATTTTATTCCAAGCACCTTTATGTGCTCCAAAATAATTTGATCGGTAGTAAGTTTCAACCTTAACTTTCTGTAATATCATAAAATTATTACAGAAAAACTGAAGATTTACTACCTATAGTCTATAGAATTTCTAAACAAATGTTCCTAAACTCCCTAGCCATCCATCTCTGCGATGGCAAATTGGCAAGGACTGAGTATCACAGGGCATCGTACAACCATGTATTAGAATGAAGATCTCATGCCTGAATTCAAGTAAATATACGATAAAAAGGAGTAAGAAGTAAATGTGATGAAATGCAAGAGACACTTTACCAAGCTCTAGAATTTCTCAAATATGCAAGCCAGAAGAAGATAAATGAAGCTTACCAAGTTACAAACTTAATAACTGCATCTAATTATTCGGACAATTGAGAAGTAGAGGCATCAGAATCAGAGTCCAAATCCCACCAAGCACCAATATCTTCCTTCTGAATAGATCCAGCATCACCTCCATCAATAATGCCATCAATAAACTCCTTCTCGCTTTCATCATCAGACTCACTATTCAAATCATATTCTTTCTCTGCATCAGGGTTATATGTCCACTCCAATCTCTTTAACACATCTCGGTCCTTCCACTTCCCCACAACAGATACAGCCTCCTTCTTAGCCTTCCCCATTAATATTTCCCTCCAGCAAAATGCAGCATCTGCAACTCTTTTCAAAGCTCCATCATTGATATCCCCAACAACAACTGTCTTCACACACCTCAATTTTGCCTCATTCAACACATCCACAAAATCTGAATCATCAGACACAAGCACTACACACTCAGCTCTCCTCTTGTCCATGACATCTACCATGTGATCCCTCAATGCAACATCAGCAGCTTGTGGCTTATTAGAAACAGTCTTAACCCAAAACCCTGCTCTTTTCAACTCATCAGCTAAACCATACCCCACTTTTGGCGTCAAAATATCCCTTGCTGCATTCTTATATTTCTCCATTTTCATCGAGTACTTGGCTACCAAATTCACCCTCCTCTTCCCTCTAGCAGAGTCTATCTGGTTCAACCTCTTCTTATGTTCACGCTCATGAATTTGCTTGAAATGATTAACAAGTTTGTCATTAGTGTAAAACCTCCTCCCACAAACACGGCAGAAATATGGTTCAGCTGGCTTAATCACTCCCTTATTCTCCAATTGATTCAACAATTTTTT